CTTCCTTCTTCTTGGATGTTTGGTCTGTTTCCTCTTTACTCTATATTCAAACTCCTACTCATCCTTGAAGAAGCAGCTCCTCCCCAGCCTCCTCCATGAAACCTGTCTATGCTCCCTGGAATGGATCACTTCCTCTTTTCCCCGTGCTCCTTCTGTACTGAGAATTTATCAGTCATGGGTCAGAATACTGCGTGGGACTTCGTATTTACACTCATCTTTTCAGCCAGGCAGGGAGCTCCTAAGGGACAGGATCCTGTGTGATTCATTTTAAAATTCCTAGCTTGTAAAACAGGACTTGGCCTACATTCTTATGTCCACAAAAAGGGCCGGGGAGAGTTTGTATGAATGAATGTCAGTGTGTTTTTAAACCATAAGTGGATATACAAATGAAAGTCATCCAGCTCCTGTGGCATTCCAGTGTGGTACATGGCAGGTGACCACTTTCTGGGAAAGATGGAGGGATTAGAAAAATGGAAAAGCATACTTTCTCTAAAACAAAGCCTAAAAATAAAAATTGGGGCTTGGAATGTGGAAGTGCTAACAACAGAAACTAAACCAAAGAGAGTCAACCATAAAACCTCTTGTCTAAATTTTGAAACATGAGCAAGAAGACTTAGGATCAGAATCTTTCTTGTTTTATTTCTGTACCAGGACATCTACAATTCAGAGGAGAACGAAAGGATAGAAAAACTATCCAGTACCAATAGACACTGTAACTGTAAAGAGCTATCCTTTCTTCTGTTGTGGTTTATCTTTATTATCTTTATTGTCATTCTAGCAGGTCATGACATTTTAAACACGTGCTTTATAAGTAGAGTAAGAAGACAAGTTATTAGAAAAATTAAGACAATACCTAATACAAGCACAGACTTGTTTCTACTTAGCAGTTAGTCATTCGTTCTGTTGAACTAGTATAAAAGTTTCTGTATTTATCTCATTGCAAATTGGAAGCAGTTTGCAAACTGATTCCTATACATTTACCACACCTTAAATAGCACCTGTTTAGACTCTATTTGGCTATCTTCATAACAGACTGTACCAGCCACAAAACATTAAAAAGAGGAGAATAGGGGCTGGGGATTTAGCTCAGCGGCATAAGCGCCTGCCTTGCAAGCAGGCAGTCGAGCGTTCGATCCCTGGTACCGATAAAAATGAGAAAGACAAAAAAAAAAAAAAGAGAGAGAACACTCATGTGCAGATTTTGTAATAGTGGAGATATTCAGAGCATAAACTAAATAGAAAACAAATCCTTTAAAGAAAATCTAAAATCACAAAATGGAAAATTATTCAAATGGGGAAAAGTTCTTCTTTTGTGTGTATCTGTCCGCTCCCTCCTGAAGGTAGAGAGAGTTCTTTGATCCTCTTAGACAACAGTTGTTTGCAGTGCAAAAGTTTTAAATTGATCCTTCGTTGTTAACAGTAGGAGAGCCAGAAGTGCTGACATCCAGCCAATGACATTAATAAGCAGCGTGACAGGCTCTAATAAATTTCATCAGGATCCTGACTCTGTCATTTTGAGCACAGAATGAACTATTATTATCACAGAGCTTCAAACCCCTCATTTTGGCTCCAGATGATTACAGCTGCTAGTGCAGCCTTTGCTAAAGTAGTTTTTAGTAACTGGTTCAGGGTTAAAGTATCATATTTAAAAGACTTAATTATGATCAATGTGGGGAACTAGTTGTGGTCATACAGCTTTGATGTGTTTCTACAGTGACGGACAAAAATGTGAACTCCTAATGATCTATTTTCTCAACAATTTCAGAAAACAAGCAGCTCTTAAAATCCAGTGTCTCTACCATGGACCCTGAGGGTTTTGAAACCCTTTCAATTGGAAATGGGCCATCATTTGTTGGAAACTGGCCATGGTTCTTTGTCTCTCACCCCAGATGAGATTTTTCCAGCCCCTTCACTAAATCTTCCTTTCACATGAAGAATTTAGTCTCAGGTTTCTGCAAGTGAGCAAGCTTCATACTCAAAGTGAGGAAAAAGATTATTAATTCTCTCTTTAGAGCCTCTGGAGCCAGCTGAATGAATCAGGTACCCATAAGTCATCCCAATCCCTCTTCTCACCCCGTGTTGGTGTGAGTTACCATCCACAGTCTCTGGTTTTACTGTTTTTACTTTGCATACAGTATGTTCTATTAAAGTATCCAGCAAAGTATTAAGCTATGAAATGTAATCATCCAATGAGAATTCCGTCTCAGTTTATCCTTTTGTACCATGTGTACCATTTAACCAAAGTATGGATAGATACTTCTACTTTGTTGAGAAATTGCAGGTTTGCATTTTATTATTGGTGTTGCTGTTGCTGTTGTTTGGGGAGTTTGTTTTGTTTTATTTTGGCTTTTGTTGTTGTTGTTGCTTGTGGTACTAAAGATTGAACCCAAGATCTTCATACCAAGCTACATCCCTACCCCTTTTATTTCATTTTTATTTTCTTCATTTTGAGGCTTGTTCTCACTAAATTTTAGCTAAGTTGCACAGGCCTGCGTCATACATGTTGATCAAAATGGACTTAAATTACTTCGGTTCTGGTTTTCGTTAGCTTCTCTTGACTGGGCATTGACTCTGTCCTTTTGGGAAGGTACTTAGTCTCTGGGTAATTGTTCCATTCCTGACAGGAGGAAAAGGCTTGCTGTTGGGAGGTTTTAGTGCCAACTTCATTTAAGCCATGGGAATCTAATTTGTTATTGAGATGACCACTTTTTTATTTTAAAGAGGATAAAACAAAATACAACAAAGCAGATCAGAAGAAAACAATGTAAGTGACACGGGATTTCAAAGTAAGACAACAGAAGATAACAGTGGCTCCCATAATGTCTCTTTGTTTTCTTCTGAATAGTTGCCTATATCTTCACACACAATGAATTCATACAACACAAAATAGTATAAAACTGATCAAAACAGAGTAATAAAGACATTACAGTCCTTCAAAACCAGACAATAGGAAAGTCAACAATGGCTACCATAATGTCTCTTGTTCTCTTCAAAATAGCTGGCCATACCTTCATGTATGTTGAAATTAAACAACACAAAACAGGCTAAAACTACTCTGAGCAAAGAATAAAAGCATTACTAGATTTCACAGCATGACAATGGGAAGTTAGCAATGGATACCATAATGTCTGTTTTTCTTCAAAGTAGCTGTTCATTTCATCACACATAATACTATACCGATTCTCGTAAACTGTTTAGGAGAAGTTTTAGGCATGTATATCTATCCTTTCTGCATTACAGAGAAAAACAAAACAAATTACTAGAAAAACAAGAAACAAAAGAGACAAATAGATAACAATAGCAAAGAGCCCAAAACAATGATGATATAGGCCTTCAAAAAAGGTGGTAGGAACATAACTAAGATTGTTATTTTATATAGTGATCTTCAAAAGGGTTCCTCAGATCACCAGACACAAATCTGCAAAACTGATCCAATCCTATGAATATTAACTGATTTGTTCCAAGAATTTATAGAATTTGTAGCACAATCATCTTAGCTATCTTAAGTGTGTTTATACAAATTTAGCTATTTTTTCTTTTCCCTTCCTTTTGTTTTCTCCTTTTCCCTGAAATATTATTTTTCCCCCTTTGAGCAGATTCTTACCCTTTGACAGTGTTTATTAACAGTTTCATATCTTATGTACTCTTACCATTTCTTACGCTAGGGAGAGACAATATGGTATTTACACATGTGAACTTGATTTATTTCACTTACGAGTATGGGCTCAAGTTGGAGATGACCACTTTCTTCAAAAAGTAAAACTGTTACCAAGAAAGCTTACTTTAAAAAATTTGATCAACACTAATTCATACATGGTAATGATTTTAGTATCAAAAAACTAGAATACTAACTTACTTCATACCAACTGTAAGATGCGCTTTTAAAGAAAGTTAACAATGAACGCTTTGCCTTTAGCTAAAGGAATAAAGAGAACACGAGAGAATTAATGGGGTGATGGAAAAAGCTCTCCGAAGCAATTAAGTGATGGCTGTTAAATCTCAGCTTCTCCTTTCGCCAGTTACACCAGGAGACCCTTGTGTCCGCCACTGACAGTGCCATGGGGCTGAGGTGCTGAGCGCGTGGTGCGGGTGACTTTCCACACTGTGGTTCCTCTGCACGCTGCAGGTCACATGTTATGCTTGGTAGGAAGCCATCCTGCATTGTTCCACCCCAGAGCAGGGAAGTGTATTTATTTTTTATTTTACGTTATTTCAGCTGTTTTTACTTTTTTCTTTATTGTTTTCTTGCCTCCTACGGAGTTCTTTTTCAAGCATTGCTGGAGAGAGGGGAACACTCAGTCATGAACTCTTCGGCACACAAGGGGCAGAAAACAGTTTTCCCCTTTCTCAGAGGTTCAGATAGCTTCTCAGCCACATCGGTTTAATCCACCATGAGTGTGAATCTGTGTGGGAACTGTTCCTGTGTTAAAACACAAAATCATTTCAGAGTTTTCCTCTGGCTCATTAATATATCCATCACACAGAAAAAGCGAATTTTGTTCTTATTTTTTTTTAATACTGTTTAACAAGTTTGTATATGATGGAGAATTTGCTTCTATACTTTAACAACTGATATCTTTGTGACTTAAAGGTTATCTTTAAGTATCACATTTCAGAAATTTTATTTCTGGCTTCCAACTATATGAATTTTGGAGTCTCTTTAGGACGTGTGTCAGTCAAGGGAACAGGAGATTATGTTATGCCAAAACTTTGATGTTACCAAGAACTGTTAGCAGGACCCACCAGGGAACTTTTAATACATTGGAGGGGTGGATGTGCTCATGTGTACCACATTCTTCCCCTTTGATAAAACTCCACATTCTATAAATAGGTTAAGTGTTATCATCATTAGTGAGAGAGCAGCTCTGTATTCTCATGGTTAATGAGCACATCAGTCTCATAATTACTTGAAACAGATATGAACGATTCATCTTGCATAACTCAAGGTGATTTGGAAAAGGTCAGGAGTGTTTAAAGAATTCTCCTCATTGATTTCACAGGATTACCTGGACTGCATCAGGGACCAAACGAAACTTCCCCTGGGGACTGAAGATAGATCTGCCCTATTTGGAAATATACAAGATATTTACCACTTCAATAGGTAAGTAGGTACTCAAAGTTCTCATGCAGGGACTTTATGGATTTTTCTCCACTATAACCTAGGAGAGCTTTACCTATAACCCTTGATAAAGCCTTCCATATTTTTATGGGCCATTATGCCGTGGAGCTTCCTGGCTAGAAGCACCTTTGTTTCTTATGTGATTATTACAATTATTTAAAAATTCTATCCCTCTCCTTGCTCGTCCTGGGAAAGCACTGACATCTTTATTACTCAAGAAGATGTGAACAGGACATCACGAAACACATACTTGCCTGGTCTCCAGCATCCTCCTATGCTGGATTTTCTATAAATTGTCTTTACATACAATAAATTCTTTAAATTATAACATAGACCTTAATTCAATGTAATTAATAGTCATTTCAAATAATCTAATTCAGGAGGCTGGGGATTTAGCTCAGCGGCATAAGTGCCTGCCTTGCAAGCAGGCAGTCGTGAGTTCGATCCTTGGTACCGGGTAAAAAGGAAAAAGACAAAAAAAAATAATAATAATCTAGTTCAAACATGTATTAAGTATGTAGCAGATATTGTTTCTCTGATGTGAGAAATCGAAAGTATAAATAAGGACCAAAATGTATTTTGAAATAGGAAGAAAATGTTGAAATGGGAATGGGGTAGAGGAGAGGGGAAAATAAAGCTTTGTAAATGAGGAGGAGGCTGGGGATTTAGCTCAGAGGCATAAGCGCCTGCCTTGCAAGCCTGTGGTTATAAGCTCGATCCCTGATACCAGTAAGAATACAAAAAAAAAAAATAATAATAATGTGTAAATGAGGAGGGGAGGAAGAGTTGAAGGGGGAGGGTAGAGGAATGAGGAGAAAAAAACAAGGGTATTCTGTAGCTTTTGGATATTATTATTAAAATGGCTTTGTTTGGTGGTGGTTTTTTTTTTTAAAGTGGACATGGTTGTGTCTAATATGAATTTCAATAGTTCAATACATTGTGTGTTATAATAGATGTATTTAAAGCATTTGTATAAAATAAAGAAACATTTCCTGTGGGGGGAGTATGTAGCAGATGACAGGCATTAGGCTAGAAAAGGACCAAGTAAACAAAACGGGGAGATAAACAGGACTGGAGCAAGTTATATTGCAAAGCTGCTGCAAGTTGATAGGTAGGCTGATGTTCAACCTATGCAGATGTGCATCCCAGTAAGCCAGGTCCCATGCTTGGGTGAATCCTTAAACCAAATGAGATCAATAATTCTCACTTCTGTCTTTGTTCAAATCTTACTTTCTCACAAGGCTCACCCAGTACACACATACACACCTGTCCTCCTCCACTTTTTTCTTTTCTTGGAGCCATGAATGTCTAGTATACTCTTGATGAGTTTTTAGATTATTTCTGTTGTTTCTTCCATCTCACAGAACACAGAGTTCTGTCTGCTTTGTTACTGCCCAAGAATCTAAAAACTCTTGGCTCATAGGGCCATTCAAACTTTTGTTGAGCATATGAATGGAAATCAGCTTCTTTCGGTGCTGTGAAGCCTCCTCAGTAAGTATTAGAAATGAATATGCCTAATACAGGCCAGTGCCAGCAACCACTAGAATGTTACCAGTGGTGATGTGGCTTTTGCTGTCCTGAAATACTACAGTAAAATTCCACCCTGTCCTGTCATTATGTGGCTCAACTCTAACACTAGCTGAATGTTGCCCCTCTTCACTTACTAAGGTTGGTAAAGGTGAGCTTCCCAGGATCTCCATCTCTTTGGCACCCCCCTATCGTAGCACTAGCCTGGCCTCTGGGAGACATGGTCATTGAGTTGAACTCATCCTTTGATTCTGAAGATGGAGGATGTAAGAAAAAATTGCATCAGGGTTTCTCATTCATGCGACTTAGATTTTAAAATCAATTTATGGTTTGAATCAGTGGTTCTCCAGAGGGCTACTCACTAGCACCACCAGGGAATCTTTTTTAAATGGTACAATGGATGGATCCAGTCTCCAGGAGTGTTTACTCATTGGTCTGAGGTAGGGCCATGGATCAGGATTTTTCAGAAGGTCCTCAAGTGTTTGTGATATGCAGCCACAGTGGAGAAGCACTATCCAGATAAACACAACAGTAAGATAGAGAAAAGGAATAAAAAACTGAAATACAGAACCCAGAGCCTGCGTGTTCACTAACAAATTGGTGTTAACATGGGCCCCATTTAACTGTTTCTGTGATGAAATCCCATGGGTGTGTCTTCTCTTTCTGGAGCCACAAAGGGCACCTTGGTCTGAAGAAGAAAGATGCTAGGAGGCCTGGCCTGGGTCCCCCATGCTTGGTCCACGGATGGCAACAGAGAGTTACAGAGTGCTTCCTCCTCAGAGCTGTAGCCAGTCATCACTTCAGATGCATCATCTCGGGCTTGCTGACCGTGGGCCCGGCATTCAGCCACGCGCCCTCCTGCCACAGCAGAGCCTGACTTCTCAAGCCATGAGTCCGGAGGTCGTCACTGACTCTGGGAGCACTTTTTACTCCCTGAAATTTAAATGTTCCTGTGCCTCCTGATTTAAAGGCAGGTAAAAATGAGTTAGCAGAAGAGACTCAGCAATGGAGCTCAGTCTGCAAAATTTGGATGACTGAGAAGAGCTTGACATTCCTGAATTGGTCTTCTGTTCTTCTCCAATTGGTGTCCCTTGACCCTGAAAGTCAGACCTTTCTAAAATAACCCTGAGTCAGAGCAAAGGAAGAATCTAGTGATGATGTATATGTGAAGCATCAGTGTAGTGACACAATTTCAGGGGACCACATTCATGCCTGTCCCTGTGTAAATCACTCTGGTATATTCCCTGTATTCATATTATCCCATTTACTCATTAAAAATTTTTCAAGGCAAATGGAATGCAATATTGCACATACTTTGTGTGTGTGCACGTGTGTGTGCATGTGCATGTGTGTGTGTGTGGCACTGGGGAGTGAATGAAGGCTTTAACACTGAGCTACATCCCCAGTCTTCTCTCCCTCCTCCTGTCCTCCCTTCCTCTCTCTCCCTCCCTCCCTCCTCTCCTCCTCCTCCTCCTTCTTCTTCTCGCTCTCTCTCTGTCTCTCTCCCTCTCTCCTTCCCTCCCTCTCTCTCCTCTCTGATAGTGTCTCACTAAATTGCCTAGTCTGGGGCTCAAACTTGAGATCCTCCCGTCTTAACCTCCCAGAGTGCCGGGATTATAACCCTGCACCACTGTGACTGGCATGTACACACATTTTATAAATGGGAACTCAACTTTACCTAACAGAAACGCCTCTGCTCAAGGACATAGAGTCACAACTCCAGCATCATCCATTTTCATGCTTGGTTTTGTCAGGTCTCTAATACCTTTCACTGTTTTCAAAATATCTTGTTTAATTTTTACAGCTGAGTTATTACGTTTGGTCTCCCCTTGTTTTTATCTCCTTTCTCTTAAGCCTAGAATCTAAATTTACAGCTCACGTGTCCTTGCTGTTGTTATATTTGGTCAAGTAAGAACATTGATGTGACTCTTTATGTCAATGTTCCTAATGAATTTTTAATTATATATCTTAATCAGCTGATTTCAAAGACACAGTTTCTATTATTAGTACAGGTCCAGGTTTGCAACATAATATAATAATACTGTGGCCAACTAGGCAAAACTTACACTTCCAAAATTAAAGAGGGCAAAAGAAGTGGCTGTACTGTGGTCTGAAACATTTAGCTGACTAGATTTCTTTTTTCAGTAAATACAGATTGAGCATCCCTACCCTGAAAAATCTCAAATTCTAAATGCTTCAAAATCTAAAGCCTTCAGAGCACTGATACCACACCACAGCTGGAAAGTCTCATACCCGACCACATGGGATGTTTTGTAGTCAAGACACAGATGCACCAAAAATGTGTAAAATTACCTTCAGGTTGCATGTATAAGGTGTATATGAAACAAATCAACTTTGCATTTAGAGCTGGATCACATTCCCAAGTTATCTTACTAAGTATATGCCAATAACCCAAAATATGTTTTTTAAATCTGAAATCTAAAATACTTCTGGACCTAGGCATATGGGATAAGGATATGCAACCTGTGTTTCTAAAATACAGAAAAGAGTAGAGTGGTATGATCAACATCCCTGAACCACTCACCCCCAACTCTGTTACAGCTGTTTTTTGTGCTGTATTTGCTTTAGAAATGATTTGAAGCATAAAGACATTACAAATAATATTAAAGCCAGTTATACCCCCTTCCCCCATCTCATTCTGCTCTGTAGAGAAAGGAGCACTAATATGTGGTAAGGCATTCTCCAACACGAAGACAAGAGAGGGAAAATCTGGCAGTTGGTGGGCTACTGATGTCCAGAGTGTAAAGCTCAGGCAACCCTATAACCCGACCCAGTACTACACTCCACTGTAGCTAAGTCTTGCTGTTTTATTCTCTAGCATGGTTTGTTATTCATTTGTGCTCTTTTGCCCTTATTGTATATGTAAGTATTTGTTTAAAATATGCAACATGTTTTCTCTTACTTCAAATGAAACATAGATGATATCAGCCTCTTACAGACTTATTCACTTAACAGTATGTTTCAGATTTAAATTATGGTTCCTTTAACTGATATGTACTGTTCCATGCGGGGTTCTGTCACTTTGTATATTGCCAGTTGCAGTACTTGGTAGTATCTTTTCTTATTGGCCACTTAGACTTCTTTTGTAATTTTCCGGCACATAACCGTCACCATTTTCCTGTTGCGATGTTTCTTTTTCTTATTATCATTTAGGATTCTTGATGGATTCTGGCTAGTGATCTTTGTGATTTGAATTGCATATCTCTCCTAGCCTGAGACATATCTTCTAACTTTAATCATGATTTCTTTGAAAATAAGTCATATAATTTGTAAGTTTAACAACACCAAATATACTTCCCATGGTGTAAGATTTTATGTTGTGTTTTAAAATCTCTTAACCTTGGGTCAAAAATATACTCTATTTTTTAAAAAAATACTCTTAAAATTTTGCTTTTCATGTTTGTCTTTAATTTGCATAAACTTGATAGAAGTGT